GAGTCTCTAGGATACCAAAGTCCTAACCTAGGAGTGTCCTTAAGATATCTAAAGATTCTCTTGACATCTAGTAAATGTGATTCCTTAGGGCATGATTGAAATCTAGCACATAAGCAAACACTAAACATAATGTACGGTCTACTTGCAGTTAGATAAAGCAAAGAACCAATCATTGACCTATAAAATTTAACATCCACACATTTACCTCCTTCATCCAAGTCAAGCTTTGTAGAAGAGCTCATTGGAGTGTCATGAGGTTTCCCATTTTCCAGTCCAAACTTCTTAAGCATATCTTTGACATACTTAGCTTGATTGATGAAGATGCCATCTTTTCTTTGCTTGATTTGGAGTCCCAAGAAAAATGAGAGCTCCCCCATCATGCTCATTTCGAATTCGCTTTGCATTAGCTTAGAAAATTCTTGGCAAAGAACATCATTAGTAGAACCAAATATCATATCATCAACATAAATTTGAACTACTAATAAATCTTTACCTTTATGCTTTAAAAACAATGTAGTGTCAACCTTCCCTTTTGAAAAACCTTTTTCAATTAAAAAGTTTGACAATCTTTCATACCAAGATCTAGGAGCTTGTTTTAAACCATAAAGTGCTTTTGTTAATTTAAGAACATGATCCGAAAATTTTGAATCTTCAAAACCTGGAGGTTGTTCCACATATACTTCTTTTATAAAACCATTTAAAAATGCACTTTTAACATCCATTTGATATAGTTTAATTTCATGAAAACATGCAAATACTAATAACATTCTAATTGCTTCCATCCTAGCTACGGGAGCATATGTTTCATCATAGTCTATGCCCTCTTCTTGAGTATACCCTTGAGCAATAAGTCTAGCCTTGTTTCTCACTATAATACCACTCTCATCAAGCTTATTCCTAAATACCCATCTAGTACTTATAGTAGATTTATTACTAGGCCTTTCAACTAATGTACATACTTTACTTCTCTCAAATTGATTTAACTCTTCTTGCATAGCCATAATCCAATATTCATTATTTAATGTTTCTTTAATATTCTTAGGCTCTATGCATGAAATAAATGCAACATAATTACAAATATTTCTAAGAGAAGATCGAGTTGTTACCCCTTTGGATGGATCACCTATAATCTCACCATCCTTGACATAGTTGTACTCTCTTGGATAAGATACTTCCTTTTCTTCAATGGTTGAATTCTCAAGAGGATCATGAGTTTCCTCATCTTTCGTTTCTTCCTTTGATAATGATTCTCCAACATCATGTCTAACGTCATTTGTATTTATAATACCTACATCATCATTCAAACAAGAATCCTTCCTCGGAAGGAGATTATCATCGAAAACAACATGTATAGACTCTTCTACAACCAAAGTTCTTTGATTAAATACTCGATAAGCTTTAGAATTTAAGGAATAACCCAGAAAAATCCCTTCATCACTTTTAACATCAAATTTGCCAAGGTTTTCTTTATCGTTGTTTAAAACAAAACATTTACATCCAAAAGGATGAAAATAGCTAATGTTAGGCTTTTTATTTTTGAAAATTTCATATGGAGTTTTCTTTAAAATTGGCCTAATCATTACTCGATTTACAACATAACAAGCGGTATTTGTGGCTTCCGCCCAAAAATATTTTAGCAAATTATTTTCACAAAGCATGGTTCTAGCCATTTCTTCTAAAGTTCGATTTTTCCTCTCAACAACTCCATTTTGTTGAGGGGTTTTAGGTGCTGAAAAATTATGGCTAATACCATTAGAATTACAAAACTCATTAAATCCAAGATTTTCAAATTCAGTACCATGATCACTTCTAACACTAGTGATAGAGTAACCTTTTTCGTTTTGTATTACTTTTGAAAATGTGATGAAATTTTCTAATACTTCATCTTAAGTACTTAAGAATAGAACCCAAGTATATCTAGAATAGTCATCTATCAAGACAAATGCATATTGTTTTCCACCCAAGCTAGTAGTCCTAGTTGGCCCAAAAAGATCTATATGGATCAATTGTAATACTCTACTAGTTGACACATCATTAATGGATTTAAAAGAAACTCGTTTTTGTTTTTCTTTAGAACAAGCATCACAGATTTTATCATTATCAAATTTAAGCTTAGGCAACCCTCGAACTAAATCACCTTGAATTAACCGTTGCAAAATACTCATACTAGCATGTCCAGTCTCCTATGCCATAACCAACTATCATGTTCAACCTTAGCAACTAGTCACAAATTAGTCATATCAATAGAATCTAAATGCACCATGTATATGTTTCCTATTCTATGACCAACAAGCATAATCCGATTAGATGCAATGTCAATGACTTTACAACCATTAATATCAAACATGACATTGAATCCCTTATCACAAAATTGACTAATACTCAATAGATTATGCTTTAATCCATTCACATATAAAACATTCTTAATTTGTATGGAAGATGTATTACCAATAGTACCAATACCTTCAATGTGACCTTTTGAATCATCACCAAAAGTCACTTCTCCTCCATTTTTGGCGTTAAGCTCTATGAACCGGCTTTTGTCTCTGGTCATGTGTCTCCGGTCACTCCTCTACAATTATAAGAATATCATCCATGGCTTTGTTGCTAAGCTTACTTCGAATGAAACATCCAAGCTATGTCGTAATTAGTTCACTCTTAATATTTATTGAACAAGTCTCGAGTCAAGTTGAATCAAAATTGAATCTTGTTGAGTTAATCGATCGATGGAATCGGCCAAGAGTGGGGTGAATTGGCAATAAAAACTTTGGTGGAAGTTTTTGCAGAAAATTGAAAGTAATTGCACAGCTATTTAGAGTGGTTCGACTTTATCAACCAAAGTCTACGTCCACTACCTTGGCTATCCACACTAAGGATTTTCCAACAAATTCACCAATTTTTTCTTTCTTTTGAGGCCAAAGAGATAACCTTACAACTCCCTCAAGAATATACCCCAATTCTTGAGAACACTCTTTTCTCAAAGAGAAGATTACAAATTTGCAAACTTACAAGAAAAACCTCACAAGGCAAATATGTTTGCACAATTCTAGAACAAAGAAATAACACTCAAGAATAAATACAATTGAGCACAATAAGTGTTCTTGAAAGCAAAATGAATATTGAATGAAAAATAGGCTTGAAATGCTCAAACTTGAGGTTTGATGCTTTCTCTTTTATTCTCTCTTGATTCTAGTTGCTTGATGTTTCTTGTTATTGATCAGTGGCTTCTAAGCTTGTTTAAATACACCTTGAATCACTTCTGAATGTTGGGGATGATTAGTGGAGTCAATAGAGTCGTTTAAGTGTGAAAACAATTAATTAAAGCAGTTGGGAGCGTCAGTGCATCGATGCATACCCATGGTGCATCGGTGCATCGGTGCATCAGTGTAAAATTCAAATATTTTGACTGTTGGATCCTTAGTGCATCGGTGCACTAAGAGTGCATCGATGCATCAAGTGCATTCGATGTTTCAAAATAGCCAGAGTGCATCAATGCATGGCTGGTGCATCGATGCAACAAATGCATTCAATGTTTTCATAAAATCCTCAGTGCATGGTATGTGCATCGATGCATGAAATGCATTCGATGTTCAATTTAATTCATGGTGCATCGATACATGGATTGATGCATCGGTGCATCACTCTGAAAAATTGATTTTAGGCTTGATTTTGGTTCAAAATACTTTGTGAAAATTATTTCAAAAATATATTAAGTATAAAACACAATTTTACACATTTAGTAAGGTTTGAAATTGATCTTAAAAGACTTGGAGTAATAATTTGATATTCGATTAATTGAATCAAATATACTTTAGAAAATCATTTGTAAAATCTTAAAATTTATTTAAACTAATTTGTTATATCGAAACAAAAATGTTTTCAACAAATCTCATATTAGAATTTATGATTGAAATGTTAATATTTTTTCTAATTTTTTTATAGAAATGGAGGAGATAATATAGGCGATTCTTTCACATGAAAAATATCGAACAAAGACACAAGATCATAAGATTTCGTGAGATTAAATGATCATTCATCGAGTGGAACTCAAATGAGAAGGAATTTGTTGACAAATGCTCAAGATGGTCAAAATCAAAGAATTGTTTATATTACTCAAAAATGGAATGATTCAAATGAGATAAAATAAAATAAAAATTATATAATATTTTAAAAAAAACAGGTAATATATTTTTTTCTTCGCCGATAAAACCAATGGATGAATAAAAAATAAAGTAAGAAAAAAAATTGACATCGTTTAGAAATTCTACAATTTTCTTTAGAAAGAAAATGAAATATTTAGGTAAGTTTTTGTAAACTAATTTTAGTCATATATATAGCTTTTTCAATAACCTTAATACACTAACTTGTTTACTCAAAATTTATCTAATGTGTTTAGTCTTTTAAAAATAAAATATTTATTAAATATTAAATATTTAAATTATTTTTAAATTTAAGAGTTAGAGTATATACTTTTTAAATTAAACAACCATAATTATATATACTTCGAGATGAATAATATCTTTGTGGTAAATATGACTTATCATATAAATAATATCTTTGTGATAAATATGACTTGTAAACGAGTTAAATCAAGTTCGAGTATTGATAATTTTAAATTGATTCCAAAAGTTTAAAATTGAGTTTAACTCGACACAATTCGAAAACTAACAAGCTTAAAATTATTAAGCTCCACTCAAAATCAAAATTTAAAACTCGACTCGAAAGGTAGTGAGCTTAAAATTTTCAAGCTCGATTCAAAATAAATAATTAAAGCTCAATTCGAGCTTAAAAGAACATGAACTTAAAACATTCACAAACTTAACGAATAAAATTCAAACCAAAACTCGGTCAAGATCAAACTCAAATTTAGACCTAGACTTTAGGTACGTAAAAATCTTATATTGTATTCCTAAAAAACATATAAGTGGAGAGCAGAGTCTAGAAATTTGCCAATTGGTATCATGTTTGTGTGCTTCATGAGAAGGCATAGTAGAAGCCAATTAAAGATAAAGTGTCCTTTCTTTTATTTCTCTTGAGTGTCTTTGGGTATTCCATCAATAAAAGAGAAGGCAACACTTGGTTTCCTATATTTACTAATAAACAACAAACTTTTCTAAAAAACTCGATTTGTTAGGATGGAAGTCTTCCAATCGCAAACTCGAAGTTGCTAGGAGTTCATTTAAGGAAGAGTCTCCTATTTCTGTCTTGATTGCACCCAAGGTGCTTCCAAGAACATCGGCAGCTAGCCCTGTTTCTAGTAGTCGGCCTGGCTCCTCTCCACCGTCACGTATTAAACCCCCAATCTCAGTCAGGGTAACCACATTTTCACCTATGATTTTGGCAAAGATTCGACCGAGAAATTCCGCAGCTTTCGGAGCATCGTTCACTGCATCCTCCAATGTGCTGAGAACAGACTCAAACCTAAATGAAGAAAACAAGGATAAAAAGGCTCAAAAATATATAATGATTTCAGAAATCGATTGCTAAATATCCAAGTTAAATGCACTCATGTCTGATATACTCTCAAGTCCGGAAAACACAGGTAGGTGGATTTAGTTAAATGATTTTCATACCCTTTAACAAGTTGAACTTGGCTCAACACACCATCATGGGACCTTGCCAGATTGACAAGTAGCATTGCCAAAAAATCTCGTTCCATGTCTTTTCTCTCAAACGAGTCTGTTACCCAAAGGGCGATCATTGTCGGATGGAAGCTCTCAGAGTGCAAATCTTTGATGCAAAAAGCAACTTCTTTCTCATCTCTAGCACTGCAAGAATTAAAAGCCAAAAATGTTCACTGCTTGAAAGAAATAACCTTGTATCATCATCATCAAAACTGTAGATAAAATAAGCACAACAGTATAAATATGTACTACAAATTCTAAGTTTAGTGTTTAGGGTTCCTACTATCAGAAATTTAAAATCTTACAATAACTTTTCAAGTTTATTATCAGCAGCAAAACTGTTCAATATAAATCAAGAAATCGGTATTACCATCAAAATCGTTAAGATACATGTTAAGTACATACTTAAGAACGTATTTAGAGATAAACCAAGACATCGGTATTACTATCAACATCCAAATCTCCATATCCTTTTCCTTTCGAGTTCAGCAATAACAGAAGTTCTCAAAAATATTAGCTTCTAAATATGATTTAGTGCAGACAGAATTTGAGCAATTTAATTGTACTCAGATTATTAGAATGCCCACCTGTAAATTCAGTATTTGAGATCCAAAAGAGACACCTTTCATGAGCAGTTTTGCGTTTCAATTTTATGTCAATGACTAAAAAGTACAGTGGATGTGTGCAGATGAATGTGTTTGCATTTATACAAATGCATGTTAAAAGGAAACAGAAAGACTAGTATGGGGACATTAAAATCAGCGTTGAGCCAAGAGGATACCTGTAAAATTCTTTAATAGCAGCCATAGACATTTCCATCAGGCACTCCTCAGGCCAGCTCTTTTCTGAAGGAATATTTTGAGTGAAACCTGATTTTTGGCCTTGTGCAGGAGAAGCTGCAGGAGAACTAAAACCATTCAAGCCAGCAGCAGTTCTTGCGTCTCCTGAAATTGGAGAAAAATCAGCTACAGCAGTACTTGATGTTGATGTTGCTGGTGGTCCTCTAAAAGCCATCCCTCTAGCTAGGCCACCTTGGGGCCCCAAGGTAATATAATCATCACCGACTGGTCTTTTAGGCAAGGGAACTGGTAAATTCCTGGCCTCAAAAGACTGTCTATCATCCATGTAAACATCCTGAGCCCCAGGACCACGGTGTTGGGTGGGAGACCCACGAGAACAACCCATCTGGGCCCCAGGAGAAGATAACTTAGACGATCGTGGACCAAAATCCAAGGGTGCTCTTCTTGCACCAGGATTGATGCCAGGACCACGGGCAAGTCTACTGGTTTGTGTTTGTCGCTCTTGAGCAGCATCTCTGTGCACTTCCTCAATCTTTTTAGGTCCGTCAACTTTCCTCCTCTGCTGCCACTTATTCTTTCTCAGATCAATGGCATCTTTCAACATGAATCTAACCCTAGAAGATAATTTCATATTGTTAGCCAGCTTCGCCATCATCTCAAAATAAGCATCCATATACGCCTTTGCTTTGGGATGGTCAATCATTTCTCCAATCGTACTCATTAATTTGCATAAAGCCTCAACATCTTCTTCATCAGGATTCTCATACTCACCAAGTAATTTCTTGATGCATTCATGCATAATTCTCTCAGTTAACATTTTCTTCTTGTACAACTCCCCAATAAGTCTTATGTTACCCAACATTCGTCTCCGTGCTTTGATTCTCTTCTCCTCTCTTTCCTCCTCAGACTGCTTAGCCTCTCCCTCTTCCTCCACTTTATTTGCTTCTTCTTGTTCTCTCTCCCCTCTTTCAAATTCCTCCTGGCACTTGTTCAGCAGCAATGTCTTAAAATTTATCTTTTCATTATCTTCACTAAAATCAGGCAACTCTCTTGATAGATGAAAGCAGAAGTTCGCATACATTTCACAGAAAGTAGGCTCCATCAAAGCTTTGTCAAAGATTTGTGAGATGACACCAGTGAGTGTAACTACATTGTCGATGTTCACCTCTTTAACTTGCTCAAAGAGTTTCTCGAAGTTTTGGGGAGTTAGTTTGTTCAAAATGGCTTTCAGTTGTCTTTGCTTTGAGGCTTCCTCATCAGTCACTTTACCCACTTCATACTTCCTTTCAGCTTTGTGCATCATCTGCAATGGTGTTTGCGGCGAAGAAATCAACCCCTCCTGCTGATAGTTAGGAACACGTTGCCACCTGTCAGTAACAGGACTTCGTGGTATCAATCCTTGCGTACCCATAGGGTGCATTTGTCCAGGAAAGATCCCTCCAACGAATGGAAGAGGTGTTGGAACTCGATGGTGCCTTATAACACCAAAGTTACCTCCCTGGACAGGCTGAAAACCACCAGCAGTAGCACCATAAGCAAGATCAAGACGTGCATCGCTTCCAGGCCCAAAAGAAACAGGATGTTTCATCCATCTGTCATCATCAACCACTCCATTACCTCGGCGATCTAATCGAGATCCACTAGATTGCCTACCTATTCTTCTTCCAGGACTAGGATATGTATCACGATCAACAAGGTGAGAAGTATTAACATCAGCAACCATCAAGGCCTCAGCAATATCAGAAGCAATCTCAAAACCTTGTGGTAGATCAGTACACTGCTCAGCAAACTTAAGAAGAAAATCTCTGGAATACTTATTTGACATATTACGACTTCCATCTTCCTCGTGATTTATTAACCCTTCATTAACCTTTATGAAATTCTCTGAAGTTTCTAATTTTGGTGCACATATATCAGCGGCATCTTCCCAATCATCCAGTTCAGCTTTATCTTTCGCAATTTTATCACTTTTTGTAGAATCCACCTGAGGTGACTCATGAGAGACCAACTTCAAATTAACACCATTACAATTGCTGTCTGCACTTGCTGAAGTTATTGTCTCTTTGTTTTCCTCAGGACCTTTAAATGCCATATAAAGATCTGAAGTTGTCCCAGCAGCATCTGCCCTCAGAAGAATTTCTTTTCTTTTCTTCCTCCCACTAGTTGTACTCTTTGTCCTATTGAGTTCTGGTACAGGTTTGTCTTTTGAACTATGTACAGGAACACCTTCTCCTTCATATTTTGATTCTGGGACAGAGAGATCAGGAGTTGGGGCCAGAGCAGAATGCCGGTAAGATGCACCAGATTTAGTAACAGTGGTTTCATTGCTATCAATGGCACTTGAAGATGCATTGGAACCAAAGGTGATATCAACATGTGAACTTTCAAGAACTGTAGAGTCGTACATTTTAGAGATAAAGACATCCGAATCAGCGACTCCCTTATTTTCAATGCTCGCCCCCACAACTTCATCAAGCACAGAACGAGCGCTTACTGAGGTAGGAACATCATTGCTAGGAGTTGTTTCCTTCAAAGCAGATTCCTGATCAGATTTGGGCTCCACAGATTTCAAGGGATCCTTAATTCCATCAGTTTCAGGTTTCAGTTGCTCATTCAGCATTGAAGAACTATCCATCTTAGCATGCTGAACTGTGTCCAAGCATTCAACATTAATGCCTGTACCAGAAACTGCAGATGAAACAGAAGTTAAGCCTTCTCTCTTGCTGTCTGTCCTCTGTTCTGCAGTCTGGGAAGCCAAGTTGGATATTGACATATACTTTCCAACAATGTGTGAAAAAAATTAAATAAATACATGCAAACAACAATTACAAGTGCAATAAAAATAACAAGGAAAATACCTGATTTGGTGGCTGAATATGACCTTTCTTAGCCGGTTTCTTCGGATTATCTTTAATAGAGTTAGAGTAGGTCAACCCGTCTCTCCTGCTTTCGTTAGAGGCAACAGTCAGGACAGAGTCCTCAGACGTAGCAGCTGGAGCAGAAGATACTGATTTATCCAAGTTAGCTGCTCCAACTTCTTCTGCAGTAGCTGGTAATCCGTCAGATGTTAATGATTCCTTTTCAGGTTTTAGCAGCTGTATAGAGATCTCTTCAGAAGTTCCCAAGTCTCGTCGAGCCTGAGATGAGCTACCCTCATTCGATGTCATCGATGGTTTTACTGGTCTAACCTTTTCAACAGGAGGCAAGCTAGTTGATAAAGATGAATCAGCCAACTTTTCTCCAAAGGAAATAGTTACTGGCTTGACTGTAACCTGTGTTACGCCTGAGGGAGCAGAAGATGCTACATTGTGACCGTCAGGTGCCAATTCCAAACTTGGTGATTCTGAAGTACCAATTCTAAGATTTACAGATTTCTTAACAGAAAGTGAACCATGGGCTGCTGCTGAGTTCATATAAGAAATGTTTTGATGACTCTGGCCAACAGGAAAAGCAAATCTTGGCCCTTGGCCATTGGGTGCTACTGCTACCTGGCTACTAGACAATGATAAAGTAGTTGGTGGTGGATAAAACATGGAATTGGTATTGTAAGAATTGGAATAAAAGTCAACTGAATGAGAAGGTGCAAAGGATGGAACTGGCTGGGATTGAGGAGGTACATTAGGATAAGACCTTGGACCTGATGACCCACCATCTGAATATGTATCTACTCGTTTATTAAGCCTTACTTCTTCACGTGTCTCGGGGTGTGTAATCTTGACAAGAGTAGTTTTACGAGAAACACCAAACTGCCCTACTTGCTGTTGAGAATACTGAGGGGCATAACTCATTCCCAAGTTTCCCAATTGAGGTGCATGCTGGCCACCCAAAGGTTGTGTGAAAGTCGTACCTTGACCCTGATGAATCATTCCCTGAGGCGGCAATGGATGAGGCTGAAGACCTGGAACAAAAACTGGCTGCTGCACCACCTGAGGGCCATTTCCCATCGGTAATGGAATACGCATGGGCATCTGAACTGAAGTAGTCTGAGATCGAATATGTGGATTAGGCCCACCAAATTGCATGGAAACCTGGGGCTGGTGATGAAATGGCATTATTGAAGCCATAGGCATATTAAGAAGAGCTGGCTTCTGTGTCTGGTTCATAGGGGCTCCAGAAGAGGCTTGTACATCTTTTTTTACCTTGAGCACTGGGTGAGCCTCCCCAATATTTGATTGGTCAGTTGCAACCGAATCCTTTTTTGGTAGCTGCTGCTTAGGAACAGGAGTATGCAAATTTGACACAGGCCTAAAAGCAGGATCGTGGCATGCCTGCAGGTCAAAAATGTTACTTAAATATATAAGAGAACTCCTAAGACTCCAAAACGGTCGTATTCATGTTATTCTTAAGTTTCTACAGGGTATTCTCTCTTACTATTAGAAAGGTAACCCAGGTGATTGAGAAGGCATTTTTTTTAGTATTCTGCAGTGTAACATTCCATCGTTCAGAGACAAACCTGAACTTGCTTCTGCTCATCCAAATTGGGGGGTGCTGAACTAGTTCGAGCTGGAATCTGATACAAATAAGAAAACAAGACCTGCGGTTAGAAACAAGGTTTCAAATTGGCAGAAAGATGGAAAACCATCATGAATAGTAAGCTACCTGCATTCCATTCATGAAACCAGGAGTTATGGACCCAAACTGTAAAGATAATGCTTGGGATGCATTTCCTGGAGTTGATCAATAAAACCAGTTAAAAGCATATAATTAGTAACATCAGCTTAAAGTTAGAACTGCTATCATGATAAACAAATGCTACTCCACAAGGAAATTAAAGATCCCCAAGTTTTCACATAACTGAAGTAGCTTGATCCTACATGCTTAGAACACCAAGCACAATAGTAACATACCCTTTGTGGGAGTTGCAGGGATACTACTGTCAGAACTTAGTGTGGCCGATTGAGAAGCAGGAACCTTTGGAACAGCTCGGATGGTCCTCTGATTAGCATGTGATTCAACGGGCTTGGCAGCACTGCTTGTAACCAGTGTGTTAGATGACCCTATCAGCAAAAATGAACATGAATGTGAATAACATCAAGATATTCGTATTTTATTCAGTTGCGAATCTTAAAGGGGAAACTACCTTAAGAATTTCGAATCATACCTTGCAACTGGGGCTGTACATGTGCGTCATTTTGTACGTTACTGGCGGCAGAAGCATTACTAGACTCGGTAGAATTTACAGCCGGAGAATTCACCCTAGATTTCCCTCCTTGAGCATTGTTAGACTTCTTAAAACTGTCATATCAGGATCAACCAACAAAAAAAGGAATAAAAATCGATCGATCTCAGAGAAAACCCTAATCATAAAAAACCCTAAATAAACCGACACGAAAAAAGAAAAATTAAACCAAACCCTGAAACCATGATGAGGAGCTCTCGTTACCTTCGACTAGAAGCGGAAGATGAAGAAAGAGAAGGTGAAGGAGCAGGCCCGCCGCCGCCGCCTCCCTTGACGTAACCGCCCGAGGAGTTCCGCTGCTGATTAGAGCCGACAGATCGTCCTGATTTTCGGTATTGTTGCTCACTTTTATCCGACCTCGATTGATTGAAGGACATATCCCCCACTCTAGATTCCTCTTATTCCCTATTTTCTTCTTATTGAAATCCCTGCATCAACACAACAAATTCAAAACAAAATCCAAAGAAAAACAATCATGGCATTACATCGAGACGGAAACGAGGATTGGAGAATTAGGGTTCCACCAACAGACCTGTGAACTCAAAAGAGTGTGCAGAGAGAGAAAACAACGGTTCGCCGATACACAGAGCAGCAATAGAAGCAACAAACAAAATTAATAATTAATTCTTTTTTCTACAATTATATAAATAAATACATATAATTTTTCTAAGAGGGAGAAAGTAGAATTTGGTAACAAACTGTCGCGGAGAAGGGTGGTCAAAATGCCGGCGTTTTAGGAAGATTACGACTGGTAAACACCCTTGTAACTGCTATCATCTTCTATAATATCCTATTCGAGTTCTAATACAATTAGGATGTAGACTAAAATATGGTCTCATATACTTCGTATATTTAAAATTATACAATTAGATCCCTTTAAAGAAAGAACAATTTAGTCTGGCTTGCACCGAATCAGTGTATTAATTCAAGAAGATAAAGTATAATTAATAATATAAAATAAATTAAAATTAGGAGGTTTAATTTGATATTTATTCATATATCTTTTAATAATAAAAAAAGGGTAATGTCTGGACAAATAGTGATCTAAGCTACGAATTCAGGTTCCAGACGTGTGTATGACATTAAATTTATTGATTTTTAATAATTGGGACCTAATTGACAAAAATGTACAAGTATTATGGGCTAGATTTGTTATGTTACCATTCAAAATTATATAACATTAACGTATATATGTATTGTATGGATCAATTGCAGTTATTCAATTTTATGATTGACGGACCAGAATAGTCCTTTTCTTAAAGGACCAATTTGTTAAATTTTAATATTAAGAATCTAAAAGTTATTTTCGCTAATACAACATCGATTTGTTAAATGGATCGTTTTAAGGGATTTTAAACATTAAGGACTAGTCTAACTTATAATACAAGTGTGACAGAATAAAATAAGATAAAAATTACAAACGAATAAACTTTGATTCGATTCAAAAAAATTAACTTTTTTTATTTGATTTGATTTTTAAAAAAAAATGGCTCGATTCGTCATAAAAAAATACTCCAAAGTTAAATCAAGTTCTCAAATAACTCAAAAAAAAATTATAATTAATAGATTTATTTTTAAATTTGACTCAAGTTCTTCGACTCTGATATATGTATATCGCATATGAAAAAATATGAAACAATTTAAATTAAAATTAAATAGTATCATAATATTATAAATATTTTTAATTAAATTTAAACATGAACTTGAATAATTCGACTCAAAAATATCAAATAAAATTTAAATTATAAAATAAGACTCGTCAACTCGAATAACTCGATTTTTTTTAACTCGATCGAACTTTTACCTCTAGCTATACCCTGTCATGTACTTCTTACACTTAAAATTGGACAGTTTAGTCCATCTAAAAAAGAATAATTTAGTCTCTATCAGTTACAAAAATGAGTAACTAAAAAGATAATTGATAATGGCGTTTATGTGTTTTTGTCAAGTTTCTAACAACCTCTGTTATAATCTATCTACTTTTCATGAGTCTTTATTTTATTCTAGAATAATACGAGATGATTATAATATAATATATATTTATCGAAAATTTTTAGAATATATGTCATTCATTGTAATTCATCCTTAATTTTATAGAATAAAATTTTACAACTAGTCATTAAACTATATCAAAATTATCTTTTTGAACAATTAAGTTTTAAAAGTTACATAATGAATATTAAATTTTAATTTTATTGCAAAATGGGCACAAAACCATTAAGAAATATTTCATTCAACTCTTCAGTTATAACTTAAATTTAATTTTAATTGAAATAATTTTTATTAGGATCGTTAAATTGAAAATAAAATAGATATAGATAAAATAACTATCATCTTTTAATTTTATATTATATATATTAAATTTGTACCCTATAAATTAAAATTTATTTGATATAATATTATAATATTATGAATGTATGATTTTTAAATTACATTTAAATTTTTTAAACAAAGGTTAAATGCTTAAATAACATCATTAATAAAAAAATAATTTTATCATTTGATAATATAAGTTTTCGGATGTCGAAGATTATAAACTTTTTGTTTTACAAGTTCAACAACAATTAAATAAATAATTAGTTATAAAATATTTTTTCTTTATAAAAAAAATTCATTGTTTGATAACTGAATTTTTTGAAAATATTTTTTTTTAATTTTAAAAATAACTTATTTTCATATATTTAAAAAACTATTTTTTTAGAATTATTACTTAAAAACGTTGAAGAATATTAAAATGAAATTTTAGTTATAATTGAGGGGCTAAATAAGTTATTTTTCATTAATTTGGTATGTTATATGACCTTTAATAACATTTAACGATTGTTATTTATTTTTTAACAAAGTTTAAAGTTTAATATCTATTTTGTAACTTTTAAAAACTCAATGCTAAATAAAATCAATTTAAAAAATTTTGAGATTATTATGAATTTACCTTATTTTATATTAGTGGTGCATTTCAATACATGTCAGTGATTGTTACTCATTGTAAACTCATCCTACATATATATTTATAAATATAACCGTTTAAAATTAATATCTCAAAAAATAATATTATCTTTAATTACTAAGGACGCTCGATGAACTCTCAAAAAATAACCGTTTAATATTTATAAATGTTTGACATGCGCCCACAGCTTAAGATATAGGTTCGAGTCCTTCGAAATCATCCCATTTTCTTGATTTTTCCACCAATAAGATGTGAAACATGGTGTCGTCTTATTGGAGGATTATTAAATCATTTCTAATTAAAATTAGGATCGAAATGATAGAATATGTATGTAATGAGAACCAAATATGTTATTATATAAATTTGCTTAACTGACGCATCGATAATTTGTTTAACATTTAACGATCAATAGCTTGACTGGAATTAAAAATAAAAAATTTAGTGACCTGATTGGAAAAAATTGTTATTAACTTATCAAAATAGAATTGACCAATAGTTTAGTGGTCTCCAAGGTAGATTACCCTTTTTAGTTGTATAGTGTTATCAAACAATAATGATTATTTTGCCCATAAAAGAAAACCGTTGGCATCTATTTAATGTGTTGATTGCAACAAATACTCGGCAAAACGGCCCAAATAATGTGGTTTGGGATCTTTTTTTCCTAGAATAATCCACTTTCCGTATTATTTCTCCAACTAGGGTGTTTTCTACAGTCTTTAGGAAATCTCGGCGTCTTCAGGTTAACCATAAAGACTACGATTTCTCGGCGTCTTAACCAGGAAGACTTTCTCGGCGTCTTCAGGTAATCTTGAGGCAACTCAGAAGACCTGGGGAAATCATGGCGTCTTCATCTTTATTTTCTGAACCAAAGCAGCAAAATATGTTGCATGGCGTGCAAAACAGCGTTGCATGCATGCATGCGTTGGGGATCGGGATGAATAATGGAGCACCGGGAAGCAGCGAAGCTATGCATGTCCAACTGTGGTCCCTTCTCATCAGCTGCCACCCATGCAATGAGAAATATAGAAAGAAATACAGGGTTATAAAACCCCAAAATCAAGCCAATATTTGAAAACCAAAGCAGCAAAAATCGACCTTGATAAATATCAATATTTGAAACCAAAAACCCTAGGGTTTACCCTAATCGGAACCAGATCCCTTCATTCTCTGTATCTTCACTATTTTTCAACGTCTTTTGCTTTTTGTTAATTGAAAAGAGAATCTAGGTGTGTTCTGTAATGGAAGCTTTGTTGGCTGAGACTTTAGTTCTGGCTGGAAAGTATCATGCTTGCCTTCTCATGTTGGTATATTTACTTCTAAAGTTTTCCCTCCACTTTGAAACTTGTGTTGTTTGCTTCATTTACTATGTTATACTTTTTGGGGTTTGTCCAAAAAAAAACATTGCATTTGTTTGTTTTTTAAGGTTATGCTGCTTATAGTGTGTTCTTCCCCAACACATTTACTGAATTTGTTGGTTGACTTGACCCTCTCTTTGTCTCCATTGAGGTTTTTGAGATACAAAAGTGTTAGAATTACTACATTTTCTGTTATGAATTTGCACATTGGTTATTAAGGGCAAGTTTTGTTTACAGCTATTGAAACTGTGTGGACTAACTGTTGGGGTCTTAAGTTTTCCTCCTATTTTTAGAATAGGCGTTTGTGGAAGACTTCAACATGTTTGCACTTTTTCTTTCTCTTTTAATTGATTTCATTACGTTTTATTGCTTCTCAATGACTAAAGCTTTTACTTACATGAAATGGTGGTTTTTTCCATGTCATGCAGGTAAATTTTGCTGTGTTGGGGACCGGGATGAATGATGAGTCATTATTAGACCAATAATGAAGCAAGAAATGTTATAAAATAGGGGAGCTGCAGCGGGAAATGGAGCATTTCAGTCCATGCATGCATGAGTTCTCGGTTGTTATGAATTATATTTGTAGTAGAAAAAAATGGAGCATTTAGTATTTGTAGTATAACATTTTTTATTATAATGACGAAAAATAATACTTATTATAATGATAAAAAATAATGACACTATTAATTATCCATTAATAATTCGGGTAGGTTGATAGTTATTAATTATCCATTAATAACACATGTAGGTTGGTGGTTGGTTTGTTGACGCTATATTTTAATGAATGTGATTAATATCAGTTGTTGAATTAATATGATTAATATCAATATTTGAATGAATGTGATGAATATTAATTCAACTTAAAATTTATTGATTCAAACATATAAAGCATTTACCACTCTTGTCGGTGTCGGAGTGTTGTTGAATAATAATGTTGAGGCACACGTATGTTTCGTTATGGTCATTGCGGTTGTTCAGGAGTTTGTTCATCACAACCAACATGCTCATTCACCGAGGGCATATGATCTGGTGTTGTAAATACATGCCCACACCACTATGCTCTCTCACCTGAGGACAAAAACTCGTATTTGACATCATAGATGTCATATGATCAAAATCATATGTTATTAGAATTAATTCACCGTTCTCAATTAAAATATATTATTCGATCATAATACCAGTGCTCCCAAATGACTAGAAATGTGTCGACCATCTAGCCTCAAAATAACATTTTCTTCTGTCATGCTTCAACAAATCTATAAAAAAAAATTAAATATTTCAATAATTAAATAAAATTTAAACAAAAAATATGTTAAATCAAAATAAATAGTCTAATTAATTTATATTTACAATAAAAAATAAAACATTAAAATTTAAACTAAACTTACCAAACCACTCAAATACGATTTAATCTGTAAAATCAAAATAAATAGTCCAATAATTTATATTACC